GCGGAGACCAGTGCAAACCTGAAAGGCTTCGGCCTGACGCCACTTACTCTGTCGCTCCATCCGCTATCAGAATATAGTTATTAAATAGCCTGTGGCAACTGTCCATTGATCCAATATGTTCGCAGGCATGCGCATAAACTGTTGCGCGGGATCTGGTCATAGGCTTTGTAAGTCAGCAGAGCACTACACCAGCTGGGCCGACGCCTAATGTTTCTCAACGATCTGGCGCATGGCGAATATATGGCCAGAGGCGCTTCGGCCAAGCTTATTCGATCGCTGCTCTTATTCGATCTTGAGGTCAGTTATTCCGCGGCATTTTTCTAGCGCCTTTGCGAGAACTTTACCAGGGAGGCTTAATATGCTAACACCGTTAATTTGAGCAGTTCTAGTGGTCTGTCTACTTGAACAGGGTTCCTGCAACTCCCGTTCTCCAGGTGTAATGGTGATAGTCAGTACGTCTTGTTTGCCTATTGCTTTGTGAATTTCAGAGCGGATTTCATGAATTCCAGCAGCCTTTCTACTTTTCAAGCTTTTCACAGCTTGTATGATTTAATCTACAGAAGTAGCAATATCCGTTCCCCGCTACTCTATAGAGGAGTCTTCCTGCATTTGTCTATCGCTGAAGAATGCCCTCATCCTCGGTAAGATGGTGTCCGTGCGTTTCTTTCAAGAATCTTAGACTGCTCTTCTTTTCACGTCAGAGCTGGCGAAGGGTCTGCTAGAATACCTTGTTTACCGTCTGAAAATTTTACTGCAACACCTCATCGAACTTATCCTAGGAATAAGATTTGGTCTTGCGTGCTTCTACATACCGCATGCAATTTGAAGCGATTTCTCTACTGCAGCCTTCTCTTTGATTGTCATTGTGCCTCTCATGATCACCGAAAGGTGTTTCTCTGACCTCCGGGCAGAAGACCAACTCGTTTCAATCCGTATCATTCGACCGCAGCCCCGAGTAAAGAGCTTCCACTGTCCAAACCGTAATATGATGTGTGCAAGCTTCGCCCTCACATCGGCCAAAAGTGATATTTCCCATTTGATTTTCTGGTTGCTTCTACCTCCAGATCTTCGTATGGTACTCCATTTCTTACAGCGCAGCGTGCCAACAACAAGATGATGATTGATTGATGGCTATGCACCTCTCTTAACGCGAACATCCATTACGTCAGGAGCGTCAGGCAATACGATTATCATATCGATCATTGCCTCTGTGCACAACCTTCCCGGTACCAGGTGTACTGATGCACTCTTCGATGCTCGATTTAGGTGTTCATGGTGGACAGTTCATTGCTTGCACAAAACCGCAACAACTTGATGCCGTTATTGTTGATGTCGCTAGGGCCGTTCCTGCCAATCATACCTTCCCTCTTTTTAGCGTCTGCTCCGATGTACATTACAATGAAGGACTCCGTAATTGACACTTTGTGCAGAGCACACTGCACTTCTTCAAGGAAGGACTCATATTCTCCTTTCAAATTGGGCGCATTGGCCTGTAACAAGGTTTGCAGTTTAGCCTGTTGTTGCTTCAGTCGGAGGATTGCCACCCTTACGCTGACAAGCTTCCAGTTAGCGATTCTCTCAGCTAGGTTGGGTTTTACCAGAACACTGACCTGAACGTGTGCTCTGATGTCGACACCTAATTAGAATAGCTTCCACCGCAGAGGTTCTGGATTCTAAACCCTTGGCGCTTCGTTGATGAAAGTTCGACAATGTCGAGTTGGTACCTTACGGCCTCATCATCTAACTCTTGCTCTTTCCCTCTGAGTGAGAATGTATTCCAATTTCTGACTGTAAGCTCTCACTGGCGGTGTCCTTCCCGTGAAGCCTTTTCTAACGTTTTATAATGGCATCGCGCTGTCTGCTTCGTCGTTTCAGAACAGATAGCGACTGCGTTGCTGATTGGTATCTTCGTCAGCTATTGTCATGCTATCATGTTCGCGACTTGCAGGTGACAAGTTCTGATCGCCAATTTTTCGCAGTCTTCCTCATTTTCCCAACAGCCTACGCGGCCCTTGGTAACCCGGGCGACGACCGGTATAATTTGAAGGCAGTACCATGAAGGGAATCTCGGAAACTTCGCCACGGCCTCCAGCTCCCTTTTCATCCGGGCTTTAGACTGGCCACAGTGCAGTTAACTTTCACTCATTGGTAGCGAAGACTGATACTTGAGAAGGCCTTTACTGTGTATCAGTAAAGTAAGATATCACATTTTCAGTGAATGTTAAAATTTCACGAGCACAGGTGGGTATCATAGATAGCTCTTTATTACTGCTTATATCTTTCATGACCTGCTTTGGCTCTCACTAATTGTTTTCTGCAGATTGGCATGTCTGTTTCTACGGTTTCCAATACTCAACTTTTAGGCACCAAGCATTAAATTTTTAAGCTTAAAATTCGTTACGCTTATAAAATAATGCGGTATCTCGATTTCGAGTTACTTATTATTATTTCTTTTTAAGTTTTTGCTCGTGCATTCGTCGTCGGGATTTAAGCACTCTTTGAACGAGATCTTAGCAGACCCCCAGATCGCCACAAAGCTTGCCGACACGAAAGCATCCTCAGACGTGAAAGCACTTGAAACGTTTCTTGAACTGCTTCAGACTGACCCACATCGCGCATACTACGGCATTGGACATGTTGAGAGGGCGAACGCAGCGATGGCAATCGAAACGCTATTGATCACGGATTCGCTCTTTCGATCAAAGGACCTAGCGGTGCGCAAACGATACGTAGCATTGCTGGAGAGCGTTAAAGATCAAGGTGGCAACGTACGTCTGTTTTCAAGCTTACATATTTCCGGAGAACAGCTGGGGCAGCTCAGCGGGGTTGCGGCCATATTGCGCTTTCCGATGCCGGAAATCGAAGATGACGATGACACTGAACAAGAACAAAACGAGATTTCGCCATCAAACGACGAATGATGTGATTTAATGTTATCCACACAGTTTAGGAAACCCAAACAAATAAATATTAATACATAAAGAATACAGGCAACATAAACTGGAAGCAAAGCTTCGCCAATACAGAAGTTCAATTTGAAAGTAAACCATCCAAAAAGTTAAACGATAAATCATTAAGAGAGTGTTCCAAAAACGCGAAGTCTTTTTCACACCCTAAAACAATATCATTTTCTTGCTCAGTAACAGCTAGGCTCTTGCCTATGGAATTTTCTTTCAACTGTATAAACTCTAGGACATCGGCATATTGCTTATATAGTGAGTCTTCGTCGAACATAACTGGATCTGGAACAACAGGACTGGAACCGGACACATCCACATCCTCAACGGACAAACATTCTTCATTGGCACCAACCATATTACTACTGGACGTTGTTTCGGTCTGTACATAAACAGCTGTACATGACTGTGACACATTAACGTATGTATTAGAGTTCACGTAGCCATGGTCGTGGATCACGGCGGCATCTCCATTACAACTCTCGGTTTGCGATACGCCATTGGAGCTTTCGGCGCGGCTAGTCGCCAAATTCGATATCTGTAAACAGCGAACAACGGTCACGGCGAATCTTAGTCCCACATATAGTCCTTGATTAACACTTACCGCTTCCTCTTTGACATCGAAGCTTTCGGGCGTGACAACAGATCTAAACTCGTCGGCGCTATCGCTGCCCTTAAGCCCAGCCAAGAGATCATCCATATCAATGTCCAGTAGAACAGAACTTGCTCCTTCGGCAGAGGCGCATTAATGAATGCTGCAGATTCAATAGCTTTGTTCTGACTGGACACCGAAGCTGGGCAGACGACTTCAGATGACTGTTTCGCTCTGAGCTCTTCTAACTGGGACTTCAAAACCTGATTTTCTTCGTGTAACAATTTATTCATTTTTTTCAGCTCTGCATTTTCAATTTCCAATGACTCGTTTTCTACTTCCAATTGGCAGAGATGTTCTTCTAACTTACACAGCGCCAACTTCTTTCTGTCCCTAGTCGCTTGAGCGGCAATACGATTCTTTAACTTCCTGAAACAAAACCTTACCGTTCATAAAAGCAAAGTTGGCAAGTTTTAAAAAAAATACAAATGACATTACGCACATTGTTCTGTAAAAAATAATAATGTAAAAATGTATACTTGAAATTCGAAACAGAATGTACTCGAAATCGACATATTCGCAATGAAGCACAGCTGAGAGAGTGGCCTATGAGAGAACAGCTGTCCATAAGAGCTTTTACCGTTTAAATATAAATAACAGAAATAAGGTTTTATGCATGGTTCAGATTGAAAGCGCGAAAAAAATCGGGATGGTTTAATGTCTGCCTCGCCGATTTATTTTTCGCCTCACTTTCATAGTCTTATCAATCTAACATGAACGCTCTCTTCCCCCATCCAGAAAATGGATTCGCTAAGGAAAGAAAGGATTTCTGAGTTTTAGCATGCGAGTCGTCTCTTTCATTGGAATCAGTCAATATCAGTTCTATCAACGAGGAACTGACGAGTACCGGTACTCCGGCTTATGCTAAAATTTTTGGTTCAGCTCAAAAGCAAAACCGCTTACACCAACTGTCTACGTCGTAGAAACAAAGAACTGTAACATTGGGTTCCAGGAATAAGTTCAGGATTTTTCAGTTAACTCATTTTCTACCAGTCAGAAAGTAAAATTCCAGGTACAAACACTAATGCTACGATATTTAGAATAATTTCAGACTTTTAGTAATCCCGCTGTGCGTAGTTTCGTCATAAATAGATAACTGATCTAGTGATACAATTACATGTAAAAACGGCTTGGCCGCCGCGTAAATAACAGAATCCGTAACACCGACCTATGCTCTCTGCCAAAAATTTCAATACATCATTCAGTACGAACTCGTACGAATAAAACGACTACAATTGAAAATCTGCAATGCTTTGAATTTTAGAATTTTTGTAATTGTCACTGTTCGAAAATTTGCGAGCTGCACTCAATAAATAATTCAGTTATACCATGCACGTAATGCTAACCATTTATGGCCATCCAGCTGCTGCACATGACCTTCTAAGTCGGTCAATTAACCTGCTTACATGGAAAACGTGACGCACCGACCAAAATCTCAGTACTGGCCAGTCATCCGATTGACCATATTTCTGTGCTGTGTATAAATAAAACGCATCTGCTTACTTGATGGTTCACATTTTATGTTTTATACAATAGAAAACTATTAAGTGAAATGACGCAATTGTAATGAAGTAACCTAACTGCTCACAGAGACGAAAGTTGTACTTGAGGATCATAAATGAACATAAACGGTAAAAATTACGGTATATTGTTTACGCATAAGCATCGCTTTTAAGCAGCTGCTTATAAGAATGCAACGTTGCAAACGTTTGATAAAAGAATGAAGTTAAAGGAAAAACTTACTATAAATTGCAGTACGCTTTTCAACATTTATCGTAGACTGCAAATTACTTGCTTATATGATCGCTAAACTAAGGGCTACAGTAAAATTAGTTACAGATAAAAACCTACATCCTAGAAAGGCAAATCAATCAAACATAGAGAAAAATAGCCCTATCAATCACTTAACGCTACTCACAATATCGACGGTTCAATTTCTTCCTAACTTCCATTCAATGATATATAGTTTGTCTGCAATTCTCGTTACGAAGCAATTATCGATTTGCGAATGGGGTGACGAAATCTAATCCCGATCTAATCAACGACTTAAACCCGCTTATTCAAGAATGAATGATATACAAAACGTGGAAAGAAACTCTCACAGTTTCGCCTGATGTTCAGCGGATACGGCTCACCTCCGAGACAATTTTTCTTCGGGTGTCAAATGAGTCAACCGTTCACGTTTGCGGGGTGCGGTAAACCTCTCTTGTCTACACGTGTAAAATGCTTGCGGCGATGGAGACGGCACAAGATCTAAATGCCAAGCGGGTCAGTATTCACTACTCAGACACCATACCGCAACTCTTACCCCTCATCATGACGACTTCCGGCATTCCTTATCACACGACCTATTCACACGAAATCCCGTGGCAGAATGAAGTTACGGAAGACAGTTTGATCTGCAAGTTTAAATGCAGATTTTCATTGATTGATTAGCAACGCAATAATCATTGTAACGAATCGCACTCACCTCTTTTTTGCATATAGATTATTCTCAATCAACAATAGCCTACTGCGCAAGAAACGAAATGTATAACACGTACAGTTATTCCAGTCAAAACATTAATATTTCAAATAATGTTAAACTCGATTTTCTTCATAGAGATTTATCAATTAATCAGTTTCGATGATCGTTTATGCTTACGGATCGCGGAGAAAGACGCACTGGTGGTGCTTTCCACTTGTCCAATCTTTGGCCAGTGTTTGATCTTCGGACCAAAATATCCCCACTCTGGAGCAGGGTCCTTGGAAACACTTGTTCCATGTTATTCCTAGCCGGCACCGGGGTCCTCGGTAGTGTGAGTAACTGTGCCGTTTTCCTTTTAGCATGTACTCACAAGAAATGCCAAAATTATCACAGCTGAGACTTCTTAATATTGAGAAGAGAGGTTGTACATCAACGCTTTCTCGGATATCTGAACACCGGCACGTGACGTGCGAGCCCAGAGATTCTTCTCAGGACATCTATATCGGCGATCGAAAATTTTAAGCATTGCCTACAAACCATGACGACAAGTGAACATTGACATGCAGATCGATTTTAACACAGAAAGGTCAGTTTTCACACTTATCTCTGCTTTAGTCACTGTGGTTCAGACGAGTTCACGTAGAACATTGTTGGCCATTCCAAATCGCGTGTCGATCACTTTACTTACTGTCCATCACCACTAAGCATTAGAGCAAGACAAGTTAATGACTTGCAATGTCATTCTACTGCTTTTAGGTTTAAATGTTCCTGTTCTCTGTTCACTTGAAATTCCTACGTTTTTGTACTGTTCCATTAATTGTACGATTCTCAACATAATCACAAACGCGACTTCGACTCTTCGCTCACTTAACCTCGTATCTCCGTCTAGACATGTTTGCGACGTTTTTTTAGTCTATCTGCGACAGCTCACATCGACATTTCAAATGCTGTTCATATGAAACAATTCCAAGGACCTCGGAGGGGCCTCAGAAAGATATCCGTCCGGAGATTCAGTCTGAAGTAGAGGTCGGTCCACAAATTTTCCCTAAACCGTTCTCTTTAATTCTTGTTCTTTCATGAACAAATCTAATGAATCCATACTGTTTAGTGACAACAGCTTACCAAAGTCATACGCTGCTATATCAGGAGAGTTGGCATTAATGAAGGCATATACGACCAGTTAATGGATCTATCATAATTCACAACCTTTCGTCTCGATCGAACCGCTCCTCCTAGCAGTGGTCTTCACACATGGACCAGTGACTCCCGATATGCGAAATTTTGAGTTATTTTCTCACATATAATTCAGAGAATTGAGAGCCTTGTTATCACTTGCAGGCAAAGATTTCTTCAATGTTTCGGAATAACATTGTTCTGCAACGTGCATTTAGCTCAAAATTCTTCTCCACAGTTCTTGCATAATTTTGAAAACAGTTTCATTTCACGTTTCGCTTTTTCGTTAGCTGACAATCTTCTAGTGAATGTGGGAGACTTTAGACGCCGCAACTCCACATTCCTGATGTTGTAGAGTAAAATAATCGTCTCAGTGGCAAACTGGATGGTATTTTCTTGAACGTAGGCAATTATTATCATGGGCGACATGCTCATTTATCTGGCTCAGACCACAACTTTTGCCGGTCTGGACATATTCCCACGCTGACAAGACTTTTTCTCTCTCGCCGAAAGACGCGATGTCGTTGACATGAAGAAGCCTCTGCAATAAATATGCGTTCAATTTTTGAAATCACCACTGTCCAATCTTCGAAAACGCCAGAATCACTCGTAGATGTGATCAGTTCCTATATCACTTTTATATACAATAAGATTTGTCCACTTGGCCTTACGCGTCTCT